AGTCGGTGAAGTTTATGCAAAAAATTGAGAGGAATTCGCCGCCTAATTTTTCTAATTGAAAAGGAAAAAAAGTAAAAATAAAGAAAACCCGATTTCACTCTCAAATACCACCACAAGAAGTTTCACTGCTGCTGCACCAGAAGCTCCTCAACTCATCATTTCTCCTTTGTACATGCTTTTTTGTTTGATTTGATCGAGTTTTGGAGATTTTTTATGATTTTTGGGGGGGTTTTGATGTGGCTTGGTTTGATTTAGCACAAGTTTGTTTTCCCAAATCTACTGCCCCCTTCGTCCTACTCGCTGTCCAAAGCTCGGCCTCATGTCGTTCGTAGCTCAGCTGAAAACCAAGTTCTCATCCTCCACGCCAGCCTCCTCCTTCTTCTCAGCCACCTTCCTGCTCCAGATCTCCAACCACCCTCCTCCTCTATGCTAGCTGCTGATTCTTCCACCATCTTAAAAAGGTATGCAAATATGGATCTTTTTTAATTTCTAGAAATTTTATTTAATTACTCTGGAAATTTGAGGAATCTTCTTCTAGTACCCTTAGTTGACTTGAGTCCCTTATTGCTAGTTTATTGTTGTAAATTTTGATCTTGCTTGGTGCTTTGTAGATTGCATACAATATAAATAGTCTGTTAAATGTTGTAATAATATATAGTTGTATGGTTATGAGTTATCTCTGCTTGTAATTGTATAATTTAACTACAGATTTGCTAACGTTACATTAACCAAGCATATTTTCTAGCCTTGTAGTTTTCTTTATAATTACCCTATAAGCGAAGGGAGATTTTTCATCTTTAAGATTAAATGAGAATTTTCATACAGAAAAACAGTTTGAGAATGGATCTGGATTTTTGATGATCCATTGTCAAAATATAGCAGTGAGGTTCGTCAGTCTCTTCAATGATGATATAAGAGGTTCGTTAATTTCTTTTACAACGGATGTTGGATACCTAATGACAATTATTTTCTTAAAATAAAAAACTTGCGCATGTTGTTTTCTTCAGTAGTGACTTAACCTTCAACTTGATAAAATTGCTTCTTAGAAGTTAAGACGTATCTCACATACTTATCGGAATCTGAGGTTGTTTTTGCTTCCGTACGCAATCGCTTCCATTTTTCACTCCAGGACAGAGCCAAGTTAAGGCGAGGTCGTCGAATACATAGGTAGTATGTGGATAATTTGCTACATTTGCTAATGTTTCAAGTATGGATAATCTTGGTATGAAAGTAGAATATTTTTTGAACAGCTTTCCATCTGTGAAACTGGACAGCACATTAGAAATTAAAATTATATCCCTCAACCCTTTCTGCAACTTCAGAGATTTGGTGCAGTGCAAGAGACTGTAAGAGTTGTTTATGAAAGAGTAATACTACAGAGCTTTTGATAGATTATGGACTTTGTTAATCCTATTTAAATTGTCAATTATACTCTTTTACTGTACAATTATATTTAAATTGGACTATAAGTTGCGGAATCTCAATCTTGTTTCGCTCTAACCACTGAACAATTCCTATTGTTGGAGTTTAGATTCATTAAATGTTTTCCATGTTTTTGCATCAAACTAAGTTAATATTGACCTAGTCTAGCTTCACTTGAAATCTGTATTTAGTTCTTTATTGGTGGGCTTTCAGCATAACTAGAATTTAAGCACACTAATGGCTGTTTTGATGTTTATGTGGTTTAATGTAAAGTAGCTCAAGTCAAGAATATATCTCGAAGTTTTTTGCACATTACATATGTTGATTAGATTGTCTTTAAGTTCCTTCAGTGAAGGTATCCTATATCGAGCGTGGGTTGTGAGCGTTGTATTATTATTTGCATTACCTGCTTGGTCTGTTGAAGTCAGCAGCTTCTTCCCCCACCTAATCTCCTCACCTACCAAACCCAAACCATAATTCTAATAGTGTCCACCCACCACTAAATAGTCTCCACTAACCCCTTCACCAACTAGTATATGAACTCTATATAAGGGGCCAAAGATGAGTGTATGAAGCATCCCAAGCCATGAAGCATCCCAAGCCACTGAGAAAGAATAAAAGAAAGAGTGAAGAGCTTGTTGATCCAGACAGGAAAAAATAATAGTAGTGTGGTGACATCCCAGTAGCAGAGAGAGAGAGAGAGAGAGAGAGAGAGAGAGTATTTGTATTTAAGAGTATAGTGTGTTTGTACCACTAAAGAAATAATAACAATATATTTCATAGTGTCCACTACTCCTCTCAACTCAACGAGTGGTATCAGAGCCTAAATTAGGATGTGTGTATCTGCTTATCATATGCTCTATGGCTGCCACCAATTAAAGGTGGATCCTCCACATCAGAAAATAAGTTAGATTATCATTTACCCTTTGAAGGCACTGGTTACTATTCATGAGTACGGTACTATTCATAAGTATAGTTACTATTCATGAATACGGTTATTGTTTATAAGTACTATTACTGTTCATATGAAATAGTAGAAGTTGCAGCTCGTGATAGAAGTAAGGCGGTCGAGACCCGCTCTCTCCTACGGTGATCCTATCAACATTCTTGAAGGCTGACACTCGTTTCAGTTTGGGACTGTGAAGTTGGTTGGTCAGGGACCATACTTGCATGGAGATACTGAAACAGTACCACGTCACGATGGCGGATCGGGCAAATATGACTACTATACTCAAGAACTCAATGATAATAACTATAACTACTAGGAGACGCATATGAAGTCCTATTTATAAGAACAAGACCTCTGGGAGGTCGTCAGGGATGCTGAAACTACAGCACCTCGGGAAGCTGGCGAAGCACCTCGGGAAGCTGGCGAAGCACTAAGAAAGTGGAACATCAATGCCAGTAAAGCTATGTATGTGCTGAAAATGTCAATAGAAGAAGATCTCATAGACTATATGCGAGATGCTAGAACTCCGGAGGAGGCATGAGATACACTCGTAATACTCTTCTCAAAAAGAATGATGCTCAACTTCAACTCCTGGAGAATCAATTGACGACCTTGCAACAGAAGCTTCTGACAATCAGTCGGTACTTCAAGCAAGTAAAATCACTCTGTTCACATATTGCTCAACTAGATCCGGATTCTAAAGTATCAAATGCAATGATGAGGAGAATAATCATCCACAGTTTGAGACCGGAATATCACGGACTCGTTGCTGCTACACATGGGTGGCCGACTCAACCAACATTATTAGAGTTGGAGAGTTTACTTGCTACATAGGAAACCCTAGCCAAACAAATGGTCGGCATTTCAATAAAAAGCGAAGATGAAGCACTCTTCATCACCAATGAGAGAGGCAAACCAAGAAGCGTGAGGAAAGAGGAGTATGGAAAGGCTGGTTCAAGGAGGTAGCCAGGGCGACTATACACCGACAGAACACTACAACATAAGGAGTAAGGTGATCATCGAGCAAGGAGACCTGACAGTTACTATTACAACTATAGGAAGAAAGGACACTTTACTAGAGACTGCCTCTACAAGAGAAGACCTGCAGAGAGCAATGCTACAACATCGCGTAGATGTTAAGATGATGATGAAGAATAGGATGCCCAAGCATCTGTGGCCATTATTGAAGATGTACCAGTCGATGAAAACGAGGTTGTTAGTATGGCACTAACCTCGATCGTAGAAGAATCTGAGTCTGCATTTGCAGCGGTTTTAGATCGAGAAGAAATCAGCTATAATAAAGATTTGATCGTTGATTCTGACTGTTCCAATTACATGATTGGAGATAAGGGGAAACTTATCAACATGAAGGAGTATAAAGGTGGTCAAGAAGTTGTGATAGCGAATAATTCAAGATTACCTATCACACACATCGAAAAGACTGCATTTATGCCGCGCTACAACCCAAATCGGATACAACTACAAGATGTATATCATGCACTGGGTATGAAAAAGAATCTCCTATCGGTTTCCTAATTAACAGCTTCTGGAAACTATGTAGTATTTGGGCCACAAGATGTAAAATTCTATTGAAACTTGAAGACACTAGGAGAACTTGTCATGGAGAGACGGAATGTAGAATATGTCTATGTGATGTCGGCAAAATCGGCATACATAGATAAATCCAAAAAGAATGAGATGACTGATTTGTGGCATGCTCGGCTTGGCCATGTGAGCTATCACAAGCTCAAGATTATGATAGAAAATTCAATGTTAAAGGGGCTTCCACACTTGGAGATTGGAGGAGGGACCATATGCGGAGGTTGTTGTTAGATCTCATGTTTGTGAGCCTATTATCTAATCTGGTTTTTATGATTAACAAACAATTCCTAACACCACCTCCTAGTATTTTTGTTTGCTTGATAGGTATCCTAGACAAGCATCCTCAGGTTAGAGGTTGGATGGACTTGAGCTTTAACGATGATATTCATGGAGGTTGGAGGAAATCAGAATGAAGCACGATGTCATTCAAATCAAAGACACTATCGCTTCATCTCTGCTACCAAGATTGATCCTTATTGAAAAATCTTTACTTGGGTAGTGCGTTTGTAGTGTTTTTAGGTTTTTACTTTATGTGTTTATACTTAAAGCTCAAACCATACACGTACACATTATTTCGGTTTATCATATTATATATCTATTTGGGAATATATCACATTTTTAGGTTATTAACTTAATGACATTGTTTTACATCTTTTCTAAAGTCTATTAATCCATTTAAAATCTAAAAACTTGTTTGAAAGGATTTCATCAAAATCATCAAGTGTTCAACAAACTCGTACTTTTGAAAGGATTTCATCTATTTGGATTATTAACTTGTTTGAAAGGTTTATCCACTAGAGAAATATTGTTGTGATGGTGAAACGTGTCTTTACACAATGTGGACGCATGATAGGTTTAACATCCTTAGATTCACCTTAGACTGCAGCCTTGAGTGAAACCAAGGACGTCACAAAAACCCCCTCAGTTAGAGCTCATTACTCAAAAACATGAAGTATGCTTACTTATGAGAGAATAAGACTTTATCAACCATCATTACTTCTGACTTGACAAACAGTTAATCAACGAGTCACCTAAGTCATTCAAATTGACGGCCCCATAATGAGTGAGCTTTCATTAACTGATTGCATGTTTTCAAGAACATAAGAATTTCCCTATTAGCTAGTAATCCAGTCTCACCCCCTCCCATCCATTGATGGAAGCCGGCATCAAAATTTTACACTAATACATTGTTACAATCATACAACAAATCACCCAAAAAGAATTTACTATGACCCGACTTTTGGCAATCATTTTGAAATATTAAGGACTACAAGCTTGCTTCGACTTCCTGAGGCCGCCACATGGTCTTCTGTATACACAACAACCCCTCGTTCTCCTTGGCGTAGGTCATTCTGACCTCCCAATGCAGAGATTTAGCCATGTTTTCTATCTCTCTGATTGTCTCCACGTTATCTCGGATGATTAGCTTCCCTTCTGGTCTCAGCACTCTATCCACCTCAGCGATTACAGGCAATATTTTACACCTGGCAGGAAAAAAAAAATTGCAGACTAGATAAGCAGTCAAATTCTCAGCACTCACTAAAATGAACTAGTATATCAGACAGAGATAAGTGCTAACCTAATCCCAGAACCGCCAATTGATTTCAATAGACTATCTTCACCTTACAGGCAGATGTAGTCTTATAATAAGTATTAAACCAGCTTGGTCTCTCTGAATAAAAGATTTTGATTTACTGTAAAGGGAAGTCTTTGTGATGATATGTAATAGGAAATTGGAAACAGGAACAATAGCTCCTTTTTAATATCCTCACTCACAGAAATTCTAGTCTTTTTCCGTAATTTAATAACAAATGAGGCCCTATCTCACTCGTTCACACGATTTGCTAAACCTTAAGGAAAAAAAGACTTCTCTCGTTTGGAAAGCAATGTGATTTTTCCAGACTATTTTTCCTATGAAATTGAACATGCCATCAGGTTTGTTTTCACGTAGGTGTGCAAAATATCATCAAAAAACTAACTTACGAGAATAGCAAGGAATTTTTCTTTACTTGAAAATATCATCAAATGATGTAGCTTCAGTCAAATGGGGCATAATGAAAAATACGTGACATCTCTGAATTGAAAAGCTTACCTCTTCTTGAGCCTCGAAAATAAATGGTCAGCATGAAGCAGGTCATATGTTCTCGGGTATGTGCTGAATGATTCACACCAATCATGATATATGCCAAACAGGCCACGCTCAAAAATAACAGGAAGGGTATCAGGGGAATCAATTGAGACAACATTCATAACCCACACTTTCATGTCCCTCAAAGCTGCAGCAAAACTGCAAAACAAAAATATATATTCAGTTGACTCGTGTGGTATGTATATACATGTAGTGTACCAATGTAATCCTACTTATATTTACTGTTGAAGAACCTGTACATGGAGCTATATAACAAAATCAACAATAGCTTCAGTACAATTGTACCAAGACTTCGATATGGTGTCAGACCGCTGACAGAATAGGTGCGCACACAATTTAGCTGCACACATGCGCTCTACACACACATACACAGCTGCAAAATCGGTGCACAAACATACGCGTACGCACGCACACAACCAATAGGTGGCAGAATGCTGACAAAATATCCGTGCACAATATAGGTGTGCACACATGTGCGCGCCCATGACACACAAACTCACTCGCTTTGAATATTTTAATTAATATATCAACTAGAACACCTTCAATAGCACAGTTTCATGACTAACAAAAGGCAACAAATTTGAGAAAACCACGTTGTTATTCTTCAGGATTGATAACAAGTCTAAATTACTCCCAATTTATCAAGAAAACATAAACATATACTTTCTTTTAGAATTTGTCAGAAATCAAATATGTAGTTAGAGAGAAATGCATATGATTTTTTTGCTTACCCTCCATAAATGGATCTCATGTCCATGACATTTCTCACAGTAGACCAGTCAATTCCCATTCCATTCAGATATGATTTGCTCACAACCCGTTTCCAGTGTTCATAATCTGCTTCAAAGTCTTCAGGGGCAGGTTTACCATAAACCCCTGTCTGAGAATTGTTTAGCCAATAAGGTGTCTTTCCCAGCCTTTCTGGCCATTGCTCTGGCCATTGTGACCCACGAACAGCAGGATTTACAGGTACTCTGTGCATGCATGCTTGAAGGTGGACGTTCCTACTCAAAGCAGAAAAGAGATCACACCATAATTTGCTGCATAATAATCAAAATAAAACTAGAACTTAGGCTCTTATTGACAGCAAGCGTACCAGGCTGCATTAGGATCATCAGATTCTTCACAGAGCGGAGGGCTGTTTTCTGCTCTTTTTTCATAGCAGTTGTTGTCAGTAGGTTTTCTATAGATAGCTAAACCCACTTGGTTCAAGGAATCCTTTGTTTTCTTCACCATTTTCCAGCACATTGACTTTGTCAGTGCATTCATGTCTGGCATCCATTTGCAAACAAATAACAGTTAGAAATTCGCCTAAAGCATTTTGATTAAGTACTTTTCTAAAGGTTCAAGCTCTAACTTCAGCTTTGGTAAATGGCCTATATTTTAGTGAACATCACATGATAAGTTGGTATCTTTTAAAGATTACAGATAGACGAGTTATGATATGTCATATGCTGGAGATGTAAAGAAATTATTGAAGAATCCATAAGTCCATGAATATCGCTTTTGATATTTTACAAACAGGAAATGGTTCTATGTGAGTAAAAAAAATTATCCTCTAAAAATTCGTAATCAGTTTTACATACAAAAAAAGATGAGGACCATTGATGTACAAAGTCCAAAAGTTTAAATGTCTAACAAAACAGATACTAACCCGAATTCAAACTTACAAGGGTTCTAAAGTATTTGTTTACCACAACTTGCAGGCTAACATTGGAAGCAACAATGAATTGGTCCTATTACTTAAAATAAGGGATGCATCTCAAAAAAACTACTAAGACAGATGTGTGTATCTTTTAAGATTACAGATAGACAAGTTATGATATGCTGGAGATGTAAAGAAATTATTGAAGAATCCATAATATGAGTTCATGAATATTGCTTTTGATATTTTGCAATAAGGCAATGGTTCAACGCAAAAGTAAAAAATTCTCCTTTAAAATTCTTAATCAATTTTACAAACAAACAAAGATGAGGTACATTGATGTACAAAGTTCAAAAAATGAAATGTCTGACAAACAGATACTAACCTCAATTCAAACTTACAAGGGTTCTAAGGTATTTGTTTACCACAACTTACAGGCTAACATAAGAAGCAACCATGAATTGGTCCTATTACTTAAAATAAGGGATGCATCTCCAAAAAAAATGCTAAGGCAGACAGTGTTTTCCAAGGCGCACGCCTCATGCACCTTGTATTGCGGTGTGGTTGCAAAGCGCCCCGCGTCTGATGTAACAGCGTCTTTTGTGCCTCGCATACATCCTGACTTTGCGTAGGGTGCATGTAATACATAACCTCATATAATTCTGTTTGTTAACATTTCAATCAAGTCTTTATACTCGATAATCCATATCTCAAAAAGCAAAATAAATCGATTAGGCCTTTTTAGTGGCCTTCAATTGAGGACCATAACTAATCCTTTGCTTGGATATTAGTCCTGATTTGACATTTGATCTAAAATTTTATGAATTTTGATACTATGTTGGGTGTTAGCATTAGAAATTAAGACCTTATATTGTGATTTTGTAGAAAGATATTATTTATCCTGACATATTTTTTATGTGAATTTCTAAACATATTCTTTCGTGCTTGATTATATATCTTCAAAAATTATATGTGCAGTGTGCGCTTGGCATTACTCGGGCGCGCGCATTTTGTTGTGCATTGTGCATGTGCACGTAAAGATGCTTTGTGCCTCGCATTGCGCCTCGCGCATTGACAACACTGAAGGCAGATATGCATATGGTTTTGCAGAACATTAGATTGTAACTCGATTAAGAGTAAAGGTTCTTAATTCTGATGGCTTCTTCAACATCATATGTAACTTATAAGACCAGTCTTTGTTTCTTTAGTTCACAATAAGTTATTCACCTGATATTGGAAACAACCTGATTTGGAATAGGATTAGATGAGTAAAAGTTATTTTTGCTGATGAGCTTCCTTAACAAATTTGACAGCAAATCAATAGTGCAAGACAAATAAAATTGCTCTAGTTTTATGGTCACTCATATCTTGCTATTTCTTCCTCTATACATGTACAGTTGATCGATGGGGAGCGTGTATGCACACGTGCTCTCTCTCTCTCTCTCTTCTCTCTTTTG